ATAGCAAAGCAAGCATTATGATGATACTAATGTAAGATACTCTAACAGTTGTTCAGTTGTGTCTGACTCTTCATGACCCATATGGTTTTCTTGGCAAAAATACTGGAATAGGTTGCCATTTCCTTCTCCAGTTTACAGTAAACAGAGGTTAAGTGACTTGTCCAGGGTCACACAGCTAGTGAGCATCTGAGGTCGAATTTTAATTCAGATCTTCCTGATTGCAGGACCAGAGCTCTATCTACTGAGCCACCTAGCTGCCTCTCTTGTAATAATTAGAGCTAATAAAAAGTGGAATGGACTGAGGAGGTAATAGGTTCACTCACCTAGGAGGCCTTCCAAGTAGAGGTTTAGTGGGGAATGTTGTAGAGGGGTCTCCTGATCATGTGCGCATTAGACTGGATTACCTCTGAGATCCCTTCCAATTTGGAGGTTCTGAGATTCTACAATTATACTATACCTTAAAGGAATCACTTTCAGCCAATTTTTGTCCGGGAAGAAGACAGCAGTTGAGCCTGTGATAGCTCTTCTGTAACATGCTGTGATGGCTCTTCTGTAACATGTTAGTTTCAGTTCTTTATAAAGAGAGCTAAGCTAGTAAGTACTATCTCCTCTGCACTTCAGAATTACAAAACTTCTAGTATTAGCTAAGAAAATATGAAGAAAAACATTATTTGAAACTGAAGAGAAATCTTCAGTGTATTATCTAAGAGAATGCTAATTAAGCATTCTTGCCTGTATTCCCTTAATTCAGAGGGGAAAAAAATTTTTTTAATGGATGCTTGCTAAAAAAGATCACCATGGGAACAAAATCGGGAGCAAGTCATTCTTAAGTAAAACACCATAATCATGTAAATAGATAGTGTCACAAGGAGTCATAGATAAGAAAACATTTACCCAATGAAGGGTTAAGAATTGGGGAATGTGGGAGGATGCAATTGTCCTTTATTTACATTTCTTCCTCAATCTCTTTTTCCACACTTCAGTTTAAAGAGGAACTCCCAACCCACCTTTCCCCAGAAATTATGCCACTACAAAAACTCATAGCTTCTCAGTCAGCTCCCAAGCTGAGTTGCTTTTCCCAGAATCTGTTCTCTCTCCGCATGTTACTCAATCCCCACCCCACCCCTAGATGTCACAGAGTCAGCTCCCAGGTTTCTAGGAATTCCACAGTCTTTGAGTCAGAGGAGAGAGTATATCCAACCCTATCCTGGACAGAAGTTGTCTTCCTCTCAGCTGAGAGCCTTGCCTCATATTTTACTGAAAAAAAAAATTGAGGCTTTTCACCAAGAACTCTCTTCTCCCCTCCTCTTCTTCTCATATCACCTAGATGCTTTCTACCACTATCTCTTCCTTCACTCCTAAATCACCATGAAAAAGTAGTTCTTATCTTTGCCCAGGAAAGCTCTTCTACACGAACAAGCAATCTCACTCCATTCTGTCTTCTCCAACAGATTGCCTCCTCTATCATCCCCTCTCATTTATCTTTGATCTTGCCCTGCCTGCTTCTCTAATGCTTACAAACATGCCCATGTCTCCATAAACCTTCCTTAAAAAACCTTCATTTGGTCTATCCATGTCATCTCAGTGATCATCTCAAACTCTTTGAAAAGGCTGGCTACAAGAACTGCCTCCATTTCCTTCCTCTCACTTTCTTCTTAGCTCTCTACAATCTGGCTTCCAGCCTCATCATTTATCTGAAATTGTTTAACTGAATATCCAGTTAATGATCTCCTAACTGCTAAATCCAATGGCGTTTTCCCAATCCTCATCCTTCTTGATCTTTCCGCATCCTTTGATACTGTCAATAACCCTCTTCTCTTTGATAGCCTCTTTTCTCTAGATTTTTGTGACCCTTCTTTGCTGAAGACTCATCTGTATCCCAAGAGGTTCTCTTCCACTCTGGTATTGGTCACTGATGATGGCGTTAGGTAGGCAAACCTGGCTGAACCATGGGCAAATTTTAAAATTCAGCCTGTATTCATTAAACAAACAATCTATCTCATAGCATCTGCATAAATGCAACAATAAGTTTAATTAGCCAGTTGATAATATCAGATCAATATTTGCTTAAAATTGGAGAACTAAAACTGTAAGTTAATCGGTGGATAAACATTTATTAAATATCATCTACGTGCCAGGCACGGTGCTAAGCAATGGGCATACAAAGACAGTCCCTGCCTTTGAGGAGCTCACATTCTAATAGGGGAGACAATATGCAAACAACTATGTATACTCAGGATTAACTGGAAATAATCAACACAAGGAAAGCTCTAGATTAAGGGGGAATCAAGAAAGGCTTCCTACAGAAGATGAGATTTGAAAACTTACCCCTGGTCATCAGCCAGGTTTTCCTACTTAAGACCATCATCAACCACCAAAACCACAGTGGAATAGAATTTCCTAGGACACAGGTGGTATAAGAGTGGTAGAAAGCCACAGAGTCCTTTCTGGTGTCATAAAAATGGATTTAAGGACAAAGGGTAGAAAAGTAGATATGAGGGGAAGGGAAAAGAAAACACAAAAAAAAAGCAGGAAAAATTCTAAATCTCCTGGAAGAGACCAAGGATTGCTGCAGTGGCTGATCAGGTTACCACTAGATTTCAAAGTTGTTAATTAAGTTGCCCTGAAGCCCACACTGAACCTGTGACGTCTGACGTGGCATATTACTCCCACTTCCGTAACTTGGGCAGAGACATCCCTCTTTCATCCTCTGCTCGTTAGGGATTTGGGTGCTCCAAGAGACTTAGGTGAGTCCTTCCCTCACTCTGTATTCTACTTTGCCCCACACCAAGCTGGTCAGCCCTGAGTATCACGTAAGAAATTCTAACCCACCCTTTCACTCAGCACCCGGTGGGGCCAACCAGGCCCTGGAAATGCTGTATAAAAAACTCCCCTTCTTTTCCCAACCCCCAACTTTTCCTTGCCTCTGAACAGCCAAAACCAGCTCACCCACACACCCACATATACACACCTTCATAGTTCCCACTTCTGCCTGGTTTAATATCTCCAGCCTCCACCTACAGTCTTGCAATCCTCAGCACCCCCGAGTCACACCTCATCCAAAGTCAGGCCTAGAACTGCCACCGTGCTGACTGTCCACTACCAGTGACAGCATCCAGTAGCTAACTGGCTGACAATGTAACTTCCTAAGCATCTTGCTGGTTATCTTAACCTAACCATCCCTCAAGTCAGATTGGGCATATGAAGTGAGTGAGGTTATGGAAGAATTGTCTTCTCATGAAGCGCCATCCTCTGCACCTGGCTACCAGTCCTTTTCTTTCTTAGATCATGAATGTGTGTCTCTTGATCCTGGTCAGGGTCCAGGAACCTGAGTCTTTTCTACTAAGTTACACTGAGAGTGGAATTTCCCTATAGGGTCTTGCTGCTCTGTATGTATCTGTGGGAGACTGGAGGGATTCTGAAATTAATTTCTTAATTTATCAGGGGTTGATAAGCAGGATAGGAATTGTCCACAAGCTAAACTTCCTTCAGACTTTTTCTGAAATGTCATGACTCTGATGATCTGCCCATATCTATTAGTGGAAGGATTTAATTACAAGAAAGAAAGAGAACCTGTCACAGAAGCCTCCTTTCTCAGGAATTTTCCCATTAATCCCGCCCATTTTCCAAACTGCACACACAATCCCTAATCCAACCCCCTCAAAACCCTGTTCTTTTCCAGTAAATTTTAAATTGTTCATGCTAATAGTGTTGCAGAAATTCATTAAAAACAAAAATAAAACATTCTTTGTCTATATACTTTGGCTCTGAGTGGGAGGATAGGGGAGGGGAGAATATTACCAGGGGAAATTTAGGTGATATAAAAAATGATCAATAAAATTTACTTTAAAAATAAATGTAAAGGGCAGCTAGGTGGCATAGTGGATAGAGCACTGGCCCTGGAGTCAGGAGGACCCCAGTTCAAATCTGGCCTCAGACACATAACACTCACTAGCTGTGTGACTCTGAGCAAGGCACTTAACCCCAACTGTCTCACTAAATAAATAAATAAATAAATGTAAAGTGATACCTTTTGGGGAGTAAAAATTAAGCTGCACCAATACAAGATGGGAAGCACTTAACTGCAGCTAACTACATACTAGTACAGCTTTGGAGGATTCACTAATAGCCAAAAAGGATAATGAAAGGGTAATGATTAAAATAACTGCTATAATTTAACCTATTTTTAAAAAAAGATTGAGGGGCTACTTAAAATCTTCAGCTATGTGCTTCATTCTAATGCCAGAGGGTTAAACAGTTGTTCTCCATCTCTCCTGACAATGGACCAATAAGAATTAAATTGTACCATAAGAAAAGTATGCTAGACATAAGGAGAATTTCCTAACAGTGAGAATTGTTACACATTCAAACGGATTATTTAGAGACAAGGTGGAACCTTCTCTGGAGTCTTCAAAAACATGACAAGTTTTCATTTGTAAAGAGTGATCTCTGCTAAAGTTGGGCAGGGTCCAAAGGGGCTTTGTCCTCCTATTATTATACATGGTTCTAAGCCATTGTTATTTTGAAGAGCTAACCCAAGAACCCACATAAAGTGAAGTCTCTAGATAGGCTTCAGCTGTGGAAGGAATGAAGTTGGGTACAACTTGAACATTTATCCAACACCAGATGTGTCTTTTTTAAGATGTGTGCTAACTTTCATAGCTGTCAAATATCCTTTTAGAAGTACCTCCCTTTTACAAAATTTTATAAAATGTGTGTGTGTGTGTGTGTGTGTGTGTGTGTGTATGTGTTTTACCACCAGAGGTGTGGAAATAGAACAAAGTGTTGCATCTTTTTGGCCATGAAGACCATCTCTAAGGCATGAAGGGGTCAGGATCTATAAGCATACCAATGAACTCATGGATTCTTCAAGTAGTAAAGTGATGAAATACTCTGTCACTTGCAACCTCTGGCTGTTAGAAATCAATTTGAGTTTGTTTAAATCTCTGCCAGTAACTCATTTGCTACTACCAAATAAATTGCTAAATGTTGTAAAGCTTAAACAATTGTACTTTATTGTACAGCAACACCATGCATCTTTCAGGTGGGTCTCTCCTTATTTCATTCCCTTCCACTCTCTGCAGGTTTGGAAGACTTTCCAAAGTATTTCAGAAATTCTGTTAGGATCTAAGGAGTAACCCAAAATAAATTTTTGTGAATAATATTGTATCATTGTGCTTAAGTTTTCTGAAATTTTATCTTATTTAGTAATATTCAATTGCTTCTCTCAAGGGCAATAAATGAATACTGCTTAGGAATTCTGAAATAATCTACCTGAATAAGACTAATCAACATAAACTTAATAAAACATTGTAAGGACAAGTTATTCATGAAATGCTATGGTTCCTTCTATAACTAGCATCCTTCACTCCACCTCTTACTCCTCATCTTCCTGCATTAAAACTTTCTCCCATTTCTCCTATTTGCTCCAATCCTATCACTTCCAATAAAATATCCAGTTGTGACTTAAAAATTCTACAGAAATTTATGAGTGCTGGCAATGTCAGCAACTTAACACTCTTGGCAACCTTTTCACCATCCTAACTCCATGTGAAGACATTTCCAAGCACTCCTAAAATGAAGGGATAGCTATTTAGTGTAATCTCACTACGACTTTACAAGTGCCTTGGAGTGACTTCATGATGAAATTCAGAGAACCAATTATGTTGAAGCCATTTTCACATGAACATAATGTGAAGGGCATTTTAAAATCACTTTTGAAATAGCTATTGGACTATAGGTTTTGGTAATTCACCTCACCAGGCAGCCACCAAACATGAAAGATCAAATGCCTAACAAATTCAAGCATGTCAGTTTTTCACTGTTAAAATGGCATCTCTTGGGGCAGCTAGGAGGCGCAGTGGATAGAGCACCAGCCCTGAAGTCAGGAGGACCTGAGTTCAAATCCAGCCTCAGACCAAACACTTGATACTTAACTAGCTGTGTGACCCTAGGCAAGTCACTTAACCCCAATTGCCTAAAAAACAAAAAAATAAAAAATAAAATAAAATGGCATCTCTACAAAAGTAGTACTTCATGTTCTGATGTGCTGCATTCTGTCCTTATGGAAAATCTATGTATGTTACATAGAGAAAGTATTAAAGAAACTCTTCCTCTCAAATCAGCCATTGACATGAATTACATTGATAAATTGGGTGTGGCAGCTATACAAATGCTCCTTCTCCTACAGATGTAGTGAAGTCAAGGTTTTCATCTCTATTAGTTTCAAAGCCAATACTTCACTGTCGTTACAGAGACTGGCCTGAGTTGTGTAAGATGCCCTATCATTAGATCACAGTGAATCCTCCAATATTATACTTATTTATATTTATGCAATAGTTAAATGTCTTCATGACTACTATTTGTCTACATATTATTTCATACTGTCCATGAATTGTTTATCTTTCCACCTGTTCATTTTAAGGCAGGCACAGAATACAAGGCAATAAAGAAGGAAATGACAAGAAATGCATTCACAAAACAAGTTTCATTATGACAAGTGAATAAATCCAAATCTTATTTTTCTTGAGACCAGAATAACATATAATTTATTAAAATGTAAATAACCCTTAAGGCATTAAGTAGAGTATTTCTTAAATTCTGACCATGATTGGTAGAATTCTCATCAAACCTGATTAGGTCAGTAATTTTGGAACTTCTGAAGATGAATACTATGTATAAAAATGAATATTCTTTAGTATTTTTTGTTTTTTCTGATATCTTACGCACCCACATAGTAATTATAAAGCTAAAAAACTCAAGTTCTCTAAAGATAATGTATAAATGCTTAAGATACATTACTGCTTAATTACCCAAGCTAACAGTTGGAAGCAGTGACACAGAGAATATTTGTGGAATAGCAAACTTCTCAGTGGCAAGATTTCTAATACTCTAATATAGTCAGCTTGGTAACTTAGAAATGTGAGAGTGATGACATTTTTATAGGTTCATAAACCAGTACGAATCTGCTAAGTAAAAAGTACTCACCAATGAAGAGGAAGGATATAAATGAAAGGACTGAAGTGTTCAGCTGCATTGGGAGAAGAGGAAAAATGTAAAGAGGGTTATGAAGTGTAAGGGTATGACTCAGTGTGGCGGAGAAGGGCGGGGATGCCTATGAAAGCTTGTGTATCTTAGGAAGTGGAGTTTGAAAATAAGCAAAAGGCAAAAATTAACAAAACAAATATTGATATTGAATGAGAAGATTATAAGAAGACATGGATATAGGAAGGACACAAATAAGTAGCAATATGCATCAGAGAAATTATACACATCACTGAGATGATCCACTAAAAGTACTCCCTAAGACATTCTCCTTGGCAGGCAGTCCAAAGAGATATTTTGAATTCAACTGAACTTCTCCAATTTCTTTTTAAAATTCAATTTTTATATTTACCACTCCAATTTCAGTAAAAAGCCAAGAAGCTTCTTCTCTTCGATATTACTATTTTTAAAAAATTTAGCTGTTTTTCTAATCTTCACATCTTTGCCTTCTCTGATTAAAAGCTCTCTCCCCAAGTAAGGTAGGTAATGGTGTAATTAAAAAAATTTTAGAGCCACGATGGGAATGACTACTGCCATCCTTTATTTTTGATGGGGGAATGGAAGGAAGTGTGAGGGGAGGAATGGGAAGACTAATGAAAAATATTTTTTTTACCTTCTTCCTGCTGTTTTGATATTTGCAGCCTGCAAAAAAAGATAATAAAACCAGAGTGAATTTTAAAAATACACATGATAAACACAAAATATTTATATCAGCTCATTTGGAAGACCCTAGAATTCATAACACATTTCATTTAGGATAACAATTATCATCAGCCAATCACCAATTCTACTTACAGAATTTCGGAACCGAAAGGGCTCCTAAAGATAATCTCATCTTTCCTACTGATTATACAGAAAAAGAAACTGTTCCAGGAAAGTTCACACAACTAATTGGAGAACAAGCAGTAACAGAACCTATGCTTCAAACTCCTAGGCCAGAATAATTTCCTGCACACCATACTGCTTCACTGAGTGATAAATGAATATGATGGATATTGTTAGGTTCTTCTATTGAATAATCCTAGTTATTTTAGGCACCCTTTGGAAACTATAACAACTCAATCAGGCCACAAAAGCACTATTTAGTAAAAGTACTCTATCCATGGATTGTTGATTCTTAATTATTACTTATGGCAAATCTTCAAACTTTTTCTAATGGAGATGGCAATTAAAACTCTGATTTTCAACTAAATTTTTTTTAACTCTTATGTTGATTCTTACCCTGTAGTTGAAAGGAAGATGTTAAGTCCCCTTTATAAATTCTAGTTCAGCCACCAATTAAAGTCTCAAATATTCCATTTCTCCTATTATTATTCCTATTATTCCATTTCTCCCATACTCTACTAAATTTATTTTCACCTTTATCACAACCTCTAAACCTTTGAATCCTCCCCTATAGACTCAGCCCATTAAGCTGAATTTGGCTTCATCTGACTCTTTACCTGAACCCCATGGTCAACTATTTCAACAATGCTCTGACATCCTAGAATTTCTTCACAACCAAACAATGATGGCACCCTGCAACTCAGCAGAAAAAGTAGCTTGTAGTTCTTCTTAAAGTAGTAGTAGTTCTTCTTAAGAAGAGAAGAAAACACCTGGAAATATCACTGTAGAATATGTCAATAAAACTTGGCAACAGATTGGATTTTTGGCTATCATAGGCCAGGAACTGGGGATGTTTGAGTTAACCCCCATACTCCCACGCTACCATCTAAGACTGTTGTGAGCTAACAAGTTCATAGAGTAGACCTGGGACAGTTTGAGCTGCCCATAGATGGAATAATTTGGGTCCATCTATGGACCCTTTGGTCATGGAGGCTACAAAGACAGGGCTAAGACTTTGGCAAGGTGCTCCTGAAACCCCAGGAAATGTACTTGCTAATTGCTTTTATGTCCTTGTCAGCAGCTTTTACCTCTCTCTGGACTGTTTTTTTTACAACCTTGTGCATTGCTTTTATCCAGGGTTTATCAAATATATATTTTATTAAAGAATTGTCCATCCCAACTCTCAGATTCTGAGTGAATCGTTGGAAACATAGTAGATGTGGAAACATGACTGAGACATTGACAATGTAGGAAAATCAGAGCAGAAGATGAGAGAATACTGTGGGGTGTGGTGACTGTAGGTCATGGGGAGTTTAGCAACCTCTGTTCCCACGCAAATTAGAACATATGTTGAGGCCTAATTGGCTCAGAGGACTAAAAACTCAAACTACAAAGCAGCTACCAGAGTTGGTTGGTGCTCTGATGCAAGGCTGGTGGGAAATGATGGGCAACTCAGGGAAAGGAGTTAAGCTCAACTTGAGGTGTCCTCAGTGCCTACCTCATTAAAAATCCTTCTCTGCCTATGGCTAAATAAATTGCCTTTTGTTAACTGTTGAATGCCTATGAGTATCTTATTTTGTTCCAATATTGAACATAAACTACCAGGGTCTGAAATATGCCCAGCTTAAAACAGTGAGGGAGAAAAACGGATTTCTGCATACAGATAAATAGAAGGTTAGGCTATGGTCAAACCCAGGTCTTTTATTTCCTTTGACATCTAATGTCTTTTCTACTATATTACACTATCTTCCCCAAAACTTACCTCATCTAATTAGATATTTTGGGAACTCAACAAAAAAATTTCTGAAAGAGCTTCCTTAGCCTTAGTTAACAGCAAAACAAATAATCAAGTGCCTTACTCCCACCCTCCCCCAAACAATAACAAGATGATAGGAGGTGATTCTAATCATGCAGATTCTACTTGCCAGCTGTATGGCCTTGCCTACCTGTGATTTAGGCCTATAGAGGAAGAAAAAGGAAGCAACTTACTCCATCTTCCTTGTTCTCCATTTTTTTATACTTTCCTCATGTAGACCAGAGCTGCAAAAGTCATTATTCCTTAAGAAGCTGAGTGACTAGTCTTTAGCAAGTTGGTAAGTGGCATAAGTTTAGAAAATTTAGCTGAAAATGGTATATTCCATCAGTTCTGGCTTTAATGCTTTATAAATTTAAGATCAAAGTTTTCAAACACTTCCTGACCCAGAGAAGCAATATAAACAGAAAATGACTGGGTTTCCTTGACCACAGCTCTGAAATAAAAAAACTCTTTGGTGTAAATACGTATGTATACAAATGTAAAAGTTTTCTAGGCTAAATTTTGAAATCTTTCTGATGTTACATTTGAAAAATTAAGAATGAAGGCTAAAGCCATAATAAAAATAGTTCCTTTCATTCATCTTGATTATACAGAAGTAGGAACTAAGCTGAACATTCCCCACCCCCCAGGACATGTATGTGTGTGTATGTGTATATGCGTGTGAGTTGTGATGTAGATTGTTTTCTTAGCTTCATATACACACATATGTAATTGTAGGTATACACATACAAATAGATTCACATGGATTGCTTTCCTAGCTTCATCCAACCTGGGAAGCTTCTATGACTAAGTTCTCTCCACCCTTTTCAACACAATCATAGCCTTATTCTCAAGACCCAAACCCAAAATGAACTTATCCCTAACATGTAATTGCTATATTTACAGTGAGAATTCCTTTCAGTCAGTGGTCATACAAGATGGCCACTGAGATCAACCCTCAAACTGTGATTTTGTATGTGATGTACTATCTTGCAATGATTCATTGGGGGTACTAGTGGTGGGAGATTGGTTTGAGGGTTTTCCCCCTAATATAACCTTTCTGTTAATATCTCATTTCTCAAATTAATATCATCTTGATAATCTAAGGGGTGGAGTACCTGCGGCCCATATGGCCTTGTAAGTCCTTGGGTATGGCTTTTTGACCGAGTCTAAGTTTTACAGGACAAATACTGAGAAATTTAAGGATAAATGCAAAGTCATAGGATCCTAGCTTTGGAGGTGGAAAACAAAAAACCTTAGAAGTCATGTCTAATACCCTGATTTTATAGATGAGAAACCTGAGGCTCAGAAAAGTTATTTTATCGGAGGTCACACAGAGCAAGAGGCAGAGTTAGTATTTGAACCAGGACCTCTGACTCTAATCCAACACCCTCTCCATTGTATGACAGTGCCTCAGTTAATAAGAAAATTGACAGGACAGTTGAGGAAGTATCTACTCTGTCACATAGGGTAAGAGGATAACTGGCAAGACACTTCTTTACCAATTTACAGCTCTCTAGAATTACTCAGATTTTGATGTAATGCAATTCTCAAAATATGCATGGGATAATCTCAGGCTGTGTCAGTGGATGTAGCCAAAACATGAATTTTAAGTAAGATATAGCATCAGCAGAATAATGGCTACCAGTGTACAATATTTACTTTTATAGATTACAAGATATTTCCTTGAGAGTAGAGGCGGTTCCCATTTCTTTTCCTTTGTCACTCAAGTGTTTAGCACAATGCCTTGCACACAATATATATTTCATAAGTATTTACTGAATGCCTATATATGCATCTATGTATATGTGCATACGATATATGTGTATACATAGTAAAAATGTTGTTCCATATATGTATGTGTGTGCATGTATGTGTGTATATGTACATATGTGTACATATACACACATATAGTTTCCTTTCAGAGTGATCTCGTTTTATAGTTCTGACCTTTTAGGGGAAGCCTATATTCAGATAAGTACCATAAATCCTACCATCCTTTAACACCCAGCTCAGATTTCATCTCCGCTTTGAGATCTTCTCTGGACACATGTCAAAAGAGATTTCCTCTTCTCCTGCATTCCTAGAGCCCTTACTAGCACCATCATTTATTCATTATTTATATAATTTACTGCCTAGTATCATTAGTTACATGAAAGGCAGCATGGCACAGTGGATAGAAAGTTGGCTTTGGAAGCAGGAAGACCTGAGGTGAACTCATGCCTCTAAAAGTCATTCAACTCTTAATGTTCTAGGTGTCTCTCTAAAATTATGAGTTGCAGAGAAGGTCCTGACTTGCACTGATAGTTTCCTCATCTGAATGTTCCCTATATCAATGAGATCAGAAGTCACCACCACAATTGTTAGTAATATTTTCTTGTGTTTCCCCCCAACTAGGTTATAAGTTCTTGGGAGTCAGAGATCATATCTTATAAATGGGCTCAACAAATATTTGTTGATTGACTTGCTGACCTATAAATTTTAATAATGTTTTTGTCTTCCTTAGTGTCCAAATTTCCAAATTCCCAAATTCCTGAATTCCTGTGACATGAAAGGATCTTACTCCTAAATTCCTAGCCCCTATAAGATTATGTACTCTCAGTTCTTCTTCATGAAGGCTTGGGCATCTTCTCCAATGAGAGCAAGTTCTTAGTCTTTTATAACCAGCTCTGCAATATGTCACTCAAGCCTCTTGCTCTTGATGGGGAAATCAAAATATTTTATCATTTGGAGGCCCTTTTTAATCTGTCTTATTTACTTAATCTATCTGGCTCCTTAATCCAAAGTGAAAAGTGACCTCAAAGCCTTTTAACACATATGAAAGGGCAAGAATGTGTCTAGGAAAAAGACACCAATGTGTTTTTCCCCCGGGCTTATTTTTGTCTCTTTGAGTTTTCACAGACCAGTCAAATTTACGTAGGAGAACAGAGGAGGTTTGGAATTGGAAAACTTGGGAATCCAATACCTTGGAGTTGTTTTGCAGTACCTGGGCAAATGGGTTTCAGGGATTACAATTAGGAGG